CACACACACCCCAACCGATACACTACACTATACACACACAAACAAACGCGCGCGCGACTACTCCTCTGTCCCCCTTCCCCGGGCCTCTGTTCACCTCCACCACCATCTCCCCTCCCCCTGCCCCTCAGCTCTCCACACTAACCAGTTCCCAGTTGTCCTTATCACGATTAGACAATTGATAAATAAAACAAACAGCATCGCCGCCTGGAGTGGTAGGCACGCTTTTTTTTACTCTGTCCTAGCCCAGCTTTTCACTGCACTGTGCACACTGACTGTGTGGCAACATTATATTGCGTCTTGACCAAAGAGGTTATATTCCTAATATGGAGCTTTCGTCGCCTACAGGTTAAGGTTTTCACCTCTCATTCAGTAGGTCCCAGGTTCGAATCTGGAAAGCTACGTAAAATTTTCTTTTCTAAAATTTTCTCCTTTCACATCGTTTCCTGCTCTCTAACAATGTTCTGTCGTCTGCTTTCGTCTCCACTTTCTGCACCCACCACCTCACCTCCTTTGCCCCCTCCTCTGGGCTCCTGACTTTTTCAGCAGCCTCTGTACTGCTTCTCTTTGGCTCCTTCTTACTGCTATCTTTAAGCCACATCCCTGGCAGGTAAGATATACACCTAGCCGTCTCAGACAAGGGCAAAAAATCTCGGAGGTCCTGTATGCAAGTTGCGCACGTTAAAGATCCCATAGTGGTCCAAAATCGATAAGAGTAGGCTTCAGCAGCCAGCCGGGCAAAATTCAAAATTTCCTACCAACTGAAAATGTTTAGTGTGTCCTGTGCGCTCATATGGCCTTATGCAGTTGAGAGCGCTGTAAAACACTTACCAAAAACAATTTTTTTTCAATATCCTAAAACTATAGCTCGCAGCAGTGACGTCACACGTGTCAGACATGGGGACCTTCTTACCCTCATTGTCCGTTGAACTGCGCATGTTTTGCCCTTGAGGTTCAGCGCCCAAGAGTGGGCACATGCAGCCCTTGTTCGTTCACGTTGAGGACATCACTGTCATGAACTCTAGTACTAATTGATATAACCTCTTTGGTCTTGACTGAGGATCGCACGGCATGGTTCATAAACTTGATACCACTTGGCCTGGGTGGTACTGGTAGACGCATAGGAAGTAGAATGTCCATGGCGATGTGGGATGAGAGAGAAGGTGTGTGTGTGTGTGTGTGTGTGTGTGTGTGTATG